CCTGTCCAACCTGACCTTAGACACTTCCAGGGATCCAGGGGCGGCCACAGCTTCTCTGGGCAACCTGTGCCAGGGCCTCCCCATCCTCACAAGGAAGAATTTATGCCTAATATCCAACCCACACCCACCCCCTTCCAGTTTAAAAAGGATGATGGAGCACTTGGGCAGGGAGGAGGAGGAGGCTCCCTTGAGGGATGCACACCCAGCACATGGGCTGCATCACTATTTTTCTATTAGTGGTCCATGAAACAATTAAGCCAGATGACTGAGGACATTTCCAGAAGCCATCCATGCTCCCACAGCCAGATACAACCACAAACAAGAGCGAGGGAAAAATAAGAGTAATAATGAACATAAATATAACCTGGTTTTAGTGAGCAGTAAACAAAAGCCATCAACATAATGATTTTTTCCCCTGAACAGAGCAGTTAGGTGGTCTCTCAATTAAGTGACAAACCACTGAGAAATGCTGCTCCAGAATAAGAAATATTCAATTACCCGACAGCAGCGTTTTTCACAGCACCTCACAATCCTGCTCATTTATTTACTGAGCCTAAAAAGGGCAGCAGGTACTCAAACACTAATTAATCATTTCAAGTAGGACACTGAGACCCAGCTCATTTGGGCACCCCTGAAACCCTCCCTGAGCAGCTCGGCCACCCCACAGCTCCCAGGGGGAAGGAGTTATCCAAGGAAAAGCCCTTTGCTGGGACCTGGAGCACACCCATGGAGGTGGCACCCCATCCCCAGCTCCCACTTACCCACACCACGTTGTTGTTCACAGAGGAGCTGGGCCCAAACACGCTGTTATCCAAGTGGGGGGGGTCTGTGCTGCTGCTCAGGGGTGATTTGGCAGGATCTTCAAAATCCAGCAAGTTCCCCGTGGCTGCTGCTGTGGGTAGAGTGGAGAAGGGATGAGGGGAGGGGAAAAGAGACACACAACCAAACCTTTTGGCAATCAAATCAACTTCCTTCAGGATGGCCCCAAATCTGAGCATGGAGGAGCTGCATTCACCCCAGTGCTGATTTATCTGATTTATCTGTGATTTATCTGTGGTGTCCAGATCAGGCACCTGAGAACCTCTCAACAGGGATTCAGGGGAGGACCAGCTTCTTCCCTCCAGCAGCCAGTGGGAAGGCTCCCAAGTGCCCACTTATGCCCAGGATGAGTGAGGATCAGCCCCAGGACATCCCAGCCCAGGGTGGGAACAGGCCATGAGCAGTACCCTCAGCTCAGCCCATGGCATCAATTCAACATCTTGCAAACCTGCATCAGTATTTTACAGGGCAAATCCTGCACTGGGCAAAGAACAGTTCAGAGCTTGGGGGTGTTCAGGGAAGCACTGGGGGGATGCAGAAGTGCCCCAGCTCCAGAGCCTCCCCCAGGCAGACACTGGAGCCATTCCCACACCCATGGCAGCCCAGGGCCACACTTATTCCCATGTGCCACCGTTTGTGACAGATTCCTCCAGTTCTGAGCCTTCACAGGAAGAAACAAGATGTGCCAGCCTGGAAGGAAGCCCAGTTTAATGCTATTTTCCTCTGTGCCAAATCCTCTTATCTCCGTGGCCAGCATGGAAGAGAGATTAGCCTTTTGTCCCACTTCTCCCTGTCTCTCGTCTCGGAGGCAGCAGAGGACCCATGGCCAGGCACTGAATTATGAGGGGATTTACTATTTAATTGTTTTATTTCACACACCTCTCCTTCCTTGGGGGAGCTGGAGGCAGAGGGGCACCTGGATGTCCCCCTCCTTCAGCCCATGGGATGGTGAGTGTTGCTGTGGGTTTGAGACAAACCCGGAATCAAGCTCAGGATGTGGAGATCCACACTAAGCTCTTAAGGACATTATGGCCAATTTGCCTGGGGCAGAAGTAAACAGATTTGGGGTGGCAGCAGCTGTGGATGAGGGGCTGCAGGAGGTATTTAAGGGGGAGAAGGAGCGGCTCAGCCAAGAACTCTGTGAGGGCAACATCTCTGCTAGGCCAGAAGTGTAGCTCCTTGGGGGTCTTCAGAGCCTTCCCAGGAGCTTACCCTGTCCAGGGAAAACCCCCCAGCCTGTTCCCATCCCCAAGCCTGGAGCAAAGCTCTGCTGGGGGTGACTTACGTGTGTCAGGGCAGGCAGGGGCTTCTGAGCTGGGGCTGCTCGTCCCTTCTCCTTCCAAGATGGACCTTTCCCGCTTTTCCTTCTCTGAAAAAGAAGAAAACCCCATCACTGCTCACAGAGTGCTTCCCCACAAGCTTTTAAGGAGGAGGAGGAGGGATATGGGACAGCTCAGATGGGGCACCCCTGCAGCAGCCCAGGCTCTGGGTGTGTTTCATAATCTCCTGGAAGGTGAAAGCAAAAATCCTGAGAGTGGCAGCAGAAATCTCGACAGCAGCAGGTCTCTGAAGCACCACAGCCCAGCACCAGGTCCTTGAGCAAGAAAGGAGCACAGCCAAAACCTGGCTGGATTTACAAGGCTGTCGAGAGGAACCTGGAGATGCCTCGTGCCAGCTCTGGAAGCAGCCTGGAAATTTGGAGGCTGAGGGGAAAAGGCACTTGAAAGCTGGAAAAAGCCCAAAGTCATCCCTTGAAAGCGAAGAGAGGGAAGAGGGGAATAAAACTCACCTTCCTTAGCTGCTTGCCAGAGCTCAAAGGCGATTTTGAAGGCCTGTGCCACGGTGAGGGTGACAGCCTGTGCCTGGAACGAGAGCGGCGAGGCAGGATGTTAATCCCCGTGTAGATTTAAATCACTTGGAGGTTTTGCTTTCCAGAGTCATGTTAACCTGGATGCAACCAGTCCTCCGCTCCCGCCTGGCCGGGGAGGGGAATCAAATATTGATGGAAGCAGAGACTTGCTCCGTGTAGGACACGCAGCTCGTTGTAGACACGTCCTTAGGTGTAATGGGGAGAGGGAGGAGGCAGGGACACGGCTGTCACAGCCAGGGTGGTGATGGATGGGGAGACAGGAATGCACAGCTCCTCCTGCACCCCACACCTCAGCCCCAGGCAGGAGCTGCACGGATCCGGGCTCGTCCTCACAGCTCCCTGAGGGATGTGGCTCCCCCCCCACCGTGGAGCATCACCCATGAGAACAGCACCACCTCACAGGGATCAGTGCCTGGGATGAGCCCTGGACCACAGCTGGCCACACGGAGCTGGGGAGGGCCGAGCAGAGCTGCATCCATCCTGCCCCAGCACGGCTACGAACACCAGGATGCCCTGAGAGCAACAGGATGAAATGCCAGGAATCTGCTGCTCTCTCCAACCTTGGAGGCAGGACAAGCCAGACCCCAGGCTCTTCCCTTGGCTTGGACCACCAGCGTGGGCTTGTCCTGCTCCATCCCAGGCCGCGGCAGGAGCAGGGACACCATCCCCGTGAGCCCCTCCATCCCTCCCCGAGCTTGAGCAGCACTAAAACCACCCACCACCACCTTAAACAGCACGAGCTGCTGGAGATGTATAAATAGTGACATAAATGCCAGTTTCATTAGGAGCAGGCAGAGCTCAGGAGCAGCTTAAGCACCGGGAGATAACGAGGAACACTCCGCACGGCTGGCGCTGCGGGAGCCTCGAGGCCCGAGTTTGTTTTACCAAGTTGTAAACTAAACAAACCCGGATCCAGGTCAGGAACCTGCAGCCCTGGCAGCTCGGAGGATGGAGACGTGGAGGGACACAAATGGGGCACAGCACCCCGTGCAGGTGGGGGGGAGGAGAACCCCAAACCTATCAGTGCCAATTAAGCCTGGAAAGCAGGAGAGCTCGTTTGAATGTCAGAGCTATTTACATCTTTGATGGAAGTGCAAATGCTTTATGGCAAAAAAACCTTAAATATGGTAATTAAGTATGAAACTCCTCACAGCTGTTTACAATTTAAGCTGTCACATCTGAATCAAGTTTAATAGACCCAGCTACCGTTGAGAATTACCCATGAACTAAAAATATGGACTAATTATATGCCCGTGGCTGGTAGCTGTGGTACATCCAGGGACCCTGCCCTGGGGAGGGATCCCAGTCTGGGAGCAGGGATCACCTTACCAGCAGGATGTTTATGCATTTTATAGACTAGGAAAAAAAAAAAATTATTTCTAGTTTTTGCCACAAAAGGCCTTGGAGAACTTTATTTGGAGGGAGACGCACTGAGCTGATGTAGCACTGAGATAATTCTTTTAGCACTAGAAAGATTTAAATTTTAATTTGCAGAGCGAGGCTTATCTTTGCCGTGCAAGGATGGGAGCACACGCCGTGGAACGGAGAGACAACTTGTAGCTTCCATTATTCTCTCCATGGAAAAAAACCCAAAAAATTAGTTGGGAGAAGCACAGAATATTAACAAGAGTGAGGTGGCTGCACTCCAGGCACAGGAATGCTCCTGAGAACCCAGGAATCACCACGCTGGGACGCAGGGGGTGGGAATGGCTCTCAGCAGGTTTGTTTCCCCTGTAGGTTTGGGAGATCCCATTCTCCACGTGGGCCCTGCAAGAGGCACTAGGGGAAGGATTTATGCAGGCAGAAGGGTTGGACCTGCCTTTCCTCTGCCCTAAAGTCCCTTCCTGTCACAGGGAGGGGGCTCAACTGGCTCCATGAGAGACCTCCAGGGCTCTCCTTGCCCCATTTGCAGCCGGTGCCCACTGACCCACCTCCCTCCCTCACCAGCTCCGGGTCCCTGCCCGTCCTGGTGCACTGAATCAGCAGAAAAAAATCCCACAAGTAGGTTCAAAGCAAGAGCCAGAGACTCTTTTGTACGCACAGGCCTCTGCTCTGAGCCCCATCCCTGGCCCACAGTGGGGTGTCCCACGCCAATCCCACAGGAAGGACACGGCCCCGCCACAAAGACGCCGCTAAAAACTGGACACGGAACCTCGATGGCAAGAAATGGAAGGGAGCCAGGGAGGGCAGCAAGCCCAGAACAGCTGGGCTGAGAGCCTCCCTCATTGGGGTCCCCCCAGGCACCTCAGTGGCAGCCTCTCTGGAGACCCCCCTGCCTGCCAAAGCCTCTCCACACGCCGGGCTCAGACCGGCTCCGGCAGCCCAGGGAAGTGGATGCGGAGCAGGGAAGAGTCCCAGCAGCTGGGAATGCAGCATGGAAGGGGATTTTCAGGTGCTGGTGCAGGGTCAGGTCCTCTTACTCCCACCCCAGAGGGCAGAGAGGCTTTTAGGTGCCAAGACAACGGGCTGAATCCAGCCTGGAGTTAACGGATAGGCCGTTCCCCCCTCTCTCTAGCTGGGGGCAGAGCTCTTATCTCACCACTTCAGCCCCTCTCTGCTTCCTCCTCCTACATCCCCACTTCTTCCTCTGGACTGACCATTTTCCGTTTGGTACAGAGGAAGGCATGGCACTCCAGGTTCTCATTGAGCTGGTTCTGGGCAATGTAGGCAAACACTTTATCGTGGATCTTGTCTGCCGTGCAGTAGGATATCCTGAAAGACAGAACGAAACGTGTCTGGGGCACTGAGCACGAGGCAGATCCACCAACCCCTCCTCGGAGCTGCCAGCAGGCGCCTGCCCCAGGGCTTCCAGCTCCAGGGCCAAGCAGGGAAGGCAGAGGGAGCACAGGAATGTTGCCAGGCCTCAGCACAACTCCTTCCCAAAGTGGAGGAGCCGATGCCACGGGGTTTGAGTGCAAGAGAAGCCCAGAGCCACTCCCGCAGCCACAGCGTGACCCACGTGCACCACACGGAGAGGCAGGAGAGAAGAGAAGAGACAGTGTTTCACCTTCTGGGAAAGGACAGGTTAGAGGAGGTAAAGATTCCAGCAGGCCATCCTGGGACTACACCTGACAAAGGCTCTGCCTTCAGAAGAGAGACTCGCTCAGAAGGTTCTCCCTGGAGGATGAGCTTGCAAGGAGAGAGGGGTTGCTCCCAGCCTACAATTTAATCTTGAGGCTCAAACCAGAGAAAAGAAATTGATGCAGGAGTGCCCAAGAGAAGCTGTTGCAAAGGCTGAAATTCAGGCTCTGAGATCTGCAGCAGCAGATGCACGGAGTGCCCTGAGAGCCCTGAGCACACTGGATGTGGGGAGGGAGGCTCAGCCTCCTCCGTGGAGCATCCCCAGGATGGCAGAGTCTCTCCCAGCCCCTGGGCAGGTCCAGGCTGACTCTGAAATGCCAAACAAGGCCCTGGAAGAGCAACAGGCTGGAGAGACCAGGCTGTAATTGAGGGCTCAGTTCCCTTCTGCAGGGCAGCAGGTCCCTCAGCATCAACCTCCACCATCGCCCATGGTCCGTCCCTGCCAGGAGCTGCAGGACTGAGTGTCCTGTCTGAGGCCAGCAAGCACAGGCTGCAGCAGTCCCACAGGTTTAGTGCAAGGTGGCAGCCAGCAAAGCCTCTTCCCTGGGCACACAACAGATCAAACAGCTGTTAAGGAAAGAGAAAACTCGAGTAAAAAGTGCGATCTTTCAGTGAAAGTTCTCCCATGGCCCCATTTTGCCCCTTCAGCTCCTGCTCTTGCTGTCCCTGAGAGTTAGCAGGGAGGGGACTGGAAGGTCCCAGTTCCCAGCAGATGCTGAGACTTAAAAAAGCCACATTCAAAATTTATTTACACTGCATTAGTTTCTTACATGTGAGGATGTCTCTGCTCAATGGCCTATATTTTGTTTTCCAGAGCTGAGCTGTGCTCTGGTCTTATCAAAGAGGCGCCTGGAAGTTCACTCTTTTCTCCCACTTTTCACAAAACTGCAAGGTCACTCCTTTAATAATTATGACAAAGCCAAGGCAAGTCATCTGTGCTGGCACATGGCCCTTCCAGCACCCTCTGGCTCAATATTAGATGGTCATTAATTTCCAGGGACAGGAGAACTCACACCTGCCTCTGAAGTGAGCCAGTTTTAGCCTCTGGCAGCAGCACATCCAGTGACAGTGGCTGCATTTTAGCCATGGCCACCCCATCCTGCCCCAGCACACGAACCAGGGAAGAGCTCAGAGCCAGCATCATCCCAGTGGATAGAGAAGCCAAGGAGAAGACAGCAGAGGTGTCAGAGGAAAGCCCTGGGCCTGCCACTGGAGGGGCACACTCACAGAGTGGGTAGAAGACCCCCCCATACACACAGATCCCACTAGTCACCATGACCCCACAGCACCAGCGTCTCCCAGGAGCAGTGACAGTCCCCAAAACAGCCTGTTTGGGAAGGGCTGGCTTCAGTCAATGAATCAAGGGCTGCTCATACTCTGGTGCTGACAGGAACAGCTTTATCGACAGCTGTTAAAGTGTCGGGGGAGAATTTAAGGCAGCATCTAAAATCCCTGATCCCACAGCTCTGCCTGCTCTTCCACCAGGGCAGGGATCCCGATTTTGGCACGGCTGCTTTGCCCAGCTCTGCTTTAGCAGCAGGTTTCTGTCCCAGGGAGGGCTGGGCTCTGCACCCCTGGCTGTGTGTGACTGCTGGGGCTTGGAACTGAAGAAAAGCAAGTGGGTTAGTGGTGTGGTTAGAGAGAACCCTGAGCCCCTGCTCCCCTTCCCAGGTCTAGCACAAAGCAGCAGGTGAAGGACAGAAGCAGAGTGGCAGGGATGCAGAGGGAAAAGGGATGAAGGAGATGGAAAAGGCCAGATCCAAACCGAGCTCTGCTCCACCAGGCCTGTGCCTACCTCCTGCCACTTTGGAAGAAATGCTTCCAAAAGAAGTATCTTCCAAAAGCCAGAGGAGGGGATATGGGATAACCCAACCTTGCCCTCCCCACCCCGGTACCGTGTCCCAGCAGCTGCCCCAGCCCTGCTCCCTGTCAGAGCCATTTAAACACAACAGAGACACGGAGCAGGCAGTGAGGGGACAGCAGCCCCAGCTCAGGGGTGCTCTGACCATCCTCTGTATTCCACCCTTGCCCTCGCCCTGGATGCTCTGTCATTTCTACTGCCACAAACAGGCAGTAAAGCCACACGTGGCCACGGAGTGCTTGGCTGTGGATCTGCTGTTTTTTGCACACACTCCACCCCCAGGCTCGTCACATCTTTCCTTGCCCCCAGCTGGACACGTCGCACCACACGTAAATTTACCTTAAATTTATCACCCACTCTCCTTCCCCCACCTTTGCTTTCCACCCAGACGTGGTGGCCAGCGAGGCAGCAGCTCAGACCAGGTGGAGGTGGAGCAGAGGAGCAGCTCTGGCACACGGAGTGCACCCCAAAACCCACCTGTATATGGAGATGTTCTCGATCAGCTCGTTCGTGCTGCTGTCGTTCAACACGATCCCCCGGGGAGAGACTTTCAGAGTCACTTTCTGCAGTTTCTTCCCACTTGCTTTCGCCTTTGGAAGGGAAAGAGGGAGGGGAAAGTTCCAGGCTTTTAAGGCTGATACCTCCAAAGGCACGTGAGCAGAGACCCCAGAGACGCACATTAATATCGCTCGTTACTGCCAGAGACTGATTTTACCAGCAGGTGTGATAAAGCACTTGTTAAAACTTTTCCTGCCCTGAAGCCATGATTTTTACTGGCACTAAGGAGACAAGGGCACACACCACCCACTGCATGCCGTGCACAGGCACTTCCAGCCCAGCACCTCCACAGGGATTTCCCCGTGGCCAGTGGCACGAGCCGGCAGCTGCTCTGGCCGAGCCCTGCAAGTGCCTGGTGAAACTCTGGGGAGTTTTGCCTTTCTGGCCAGTTCTAGAGCAGAGGGGACACCAGCACGAGCGAGGGAGCTGTGCTGGGAGCGGGATGGTCCTGGACAAAGTGGGCTCCCAAGGAGCTGGCTCTGAGCTGTGCTGCCGGACCCCGCTCCCACAGCAAAGCGTCCCCTGTGCAAGGCCACGATGGCAGCTTAAAAAGTAACTCCACTTTCATGTGCCACTTTCTCTTGTTTACTACTCTCATGCTTTCAGCCTTCAGGTTACACTCAGCTCACTGCCCAGCCCGTCTCCAAAAGAAATAATACACATCCAGCGAGCTCCAGGCTGCAGACCAGGATCCTCTGCCCTGGTGACCTCATGAGCCACAACCAGAGTGGCCAGTCCTGCCTCTCTGAGGCCGCCTCAGCCCCGTGGCTTTATTTAAAGGCTCAGTTCCCAGTGGCTCAGAGCAGACGTGGAGGGCTCTGCCAGCAGCTCCCGCTTCACGCGAGCGCTTCCCTCCGTCCGGCTCAGCACATGCCAGGAAAGGATCCAGCACTACCCAGTGCTGTCCACCACCCCACTGAGCTTTACAACAGTTAATGGCACAGCTGGGGCTTTGCCTCACTCAGTTTTACAAGGGCTTAAAGTGCTGATTTCACTCGGAGCTGGAGGGTGGCTGAAAACCAGTCCCCCTTGCATCACGGGTTCCAGTGGGACAGCGGCTGCTCCGGCTGGGAATTGGAGCAAGCTGCCCTGCTCCCTTCTCCTCTTAACCCTGCCAATCCTGGGAAGGAAAACCCAGAACTGCACTGGCCATGCTCCAAACGCTGTCCCTGCCTTTCAAGAGGAGACACAGCCCCAGGGCAGGCTGATTTCACCAGGTCAGAGGCTTCTCACACACCCAGGGTCACTCAGGCTTATCAAGGGGAGCCAGAGCTCAGACACTCAACACCAGCTTCCCACAGCCTGCCCTATCCCAGGGTCAGGGCTGGCCCCAAGAGCTTTCCAGTGCCACTGTCTGCGGTTCTACCCACACCATCAGACATCTGCACGCCCCTGGAGGGGCTGGACCTGCAATCCTGACCCCCCGAGCCCACAGCTGCCTCCAGACCTGAGGATTTTGAAACCCTCCCCGGTGACAGACTCGTTTGAAGAGCAGGAGATGGGGCTCTGCTCCAACACAGACACTCACAGTGGCCACAATCCTTTTGACAGCAGCTGCAGAGAGCTCCTCTCCCTTGGGCTGCTCCACCAGTGTCATCCCCATGTACTTGAGGCTGAAGAGCATCCCCTCCAGCAGCGTCTCGCGGGTGTCAGTCCAGTTCTCTGGGAGCTCTAGGGAGACAACAAAGAGGCTCTTGGATTCCCAAACACACAAGGGACATCCCTGAGGCTTTAGGTACAAGCAGGGTGTTGGTTTAGCTGCTGCCTGGACTCCCAGGCCTGAGCAGCTGGGAGCTCAGGGAAGGAGATGGGGCAGAGACCCGGCTGCTGGAGGAGGCAACAGAACACTTCAACCATGCAGCAACCACGAGGTACTCACATGGGGAACCTCATCATCAGCCTCTGCAGCTCTCCAACACAGCAAAAACGAATCCCAAAATGCTTTCCACAAGCCACAACAAACAGAAGCAACCTTTTAGTTTAACTGTGAGCACCCAGGCCCACACCATAACCAAGGGGATCCTGAGCCCCAGCCCAGTGCAGGGCTCGGTGCCACAGCAATGACCTTACCCAGTGCAAACCATCACCTACACACTCAGGCTAAGACAGGATTTACTGCTAAGCCCAGGCAGCTGCCAGGACCCAGGTGAGGTGCTTTGACCTCCTAAATCGGTCACCTACAGCCCTGAGGAGCCCTCACACAGGTGAAGCCTCAGCGAGGAGAGGTCTCTGCTCTCCCCTGCAGACCACCAAGGAGACAACTGGCCTCTTCCCTGAAGTGCAGGGAGGGTGGGAAGGAGTGTTCTAAATACAGAGCTAAGTTTGGGACCAAAGTGAAAGCCAGGTGGGTGTTTCTAAACCTGAAATGACACCACAGGAGCCACCTTCCAGACCTGGAGCTGGCAACCCAGGATGTGCAGCTCTCGTGTTTTAAGGAGGGTCTTGCTTTGAGCAGGAGGCAATGAACCACAGCCCTGAGGAGCGACGGGGCTCCCAGAGACTAAACATGTCCCTGAGGCTTTGCTGCCTCGAAATCAGCCTCCTCCAAGCAGTGGGGCCAAACTCCAGAGCTCCCTGCACACCTGCAGGGCAGGAGGGCTGGGCTACAGGGATGTGGGGGACCTGGCTACACCCCTGGGATAACCCCTGGTGAGTCAGCCTCCCTGCAAAGGCAGGACAGGAGATAAGCCATAAACCCCAGCACCACTCCCAGTGGTGAGACACCGGTGAGACTCCAGCCGGAGTGACGGAATCCAGGTGGGAGTGGTCCCATGGGGAG